ACATAAGTGACAAATTCACTTTTAATTAGTCTGCAGGGGCTGCCAAAAAGCTTGTAGGTGGTGTTAGACTGTCCCCATTACAAAATCTATAAACAAATCTACAATCTAAAAAAGGGAAAACCATTTCAGGTGTCTTTGCCTAGCCCCTGAGGGAGGGACGCTGCGTCTGTACTGCCCCTAGAGGGAGAAGTGCTGGGTCTGTGGCTAGCCATCTACGGAGGAGCACAGGGTCTATGGTGGCTGTAGAAAGAGAAGTCTTCGGTCTGTGCCAGCCATGGAGGGAAAAACTCTTGGTACTACAATGGCGATAGGAGGGAGGAGTGGTCCTGAGGGGAGAAGGGCTGGGGTTGTACCTTCCCTGAAGGGAGGAGAGTGGGGTTTGTGCGGGCCCTGAAGGGAGGAACGCTGGCCCTGAAGGGAACACTGCTGGTGGTCTATGTGGGCCCTAGAAGGAAAAGCGTTGGGATCTGTACTGGCCATGGAAGGAGAGCTGGGGTCTGTGCAGGCACTGGAGGAAGGATTGCTGGTAATCTGTGCTGGTCCAGGCAGGACAGCTGGTTTTTTTTTTCTGCTGGCCCTGGAGAGTGAAGCACTGGGGTCTGTGCTGGCATTGGAGGAAGGAGTGCTGGGGGTCTGTGCCGACTTTGAAACATTGGGATCTGCACTGGTCCTGGTTTCTTGGGAGTCTAAGCTGACCCTGGAAAGAGGAGTGCTAGGTTTGAACCGGGCCTGGACGGAGGAACACTGGGGGCTTGTGCCGGCCCTGGAAGGAGGAGCACTGAGATCCGCACGGGCCCTGACTTTTTTCCTATTGGAGGCATTGGGAATTCATGAACAGTATTTTTATTTGGGGTTGTTTTTCTAAAATGGCATCACACAAATGTATGATTAATTTTAGGTGCTGATGGAGCTTAGTGGAAGAATTGTTGTTGTAGATACTTCCATACACCAGGCTCGTTGTTCATAGCACTTCTTACAGAGGGGACACAGGTACCCGGAAGGGGAAATAGACCTTTTTATACATTAATGTGGTGTGGACAGATGAGATTTTCCCTCAGTTTTCACTCTGCTCTTTACAGAAACAATTCCTGGAAGAACGTGCTTTCCTGTTCACCGTGAAAAATTCAGTCTCGCTACAGCTGGTATAAGCTGCAATTTCTACCAACTCTAGTTGCAGCTGAAATGGAACTACAAATCCCAACATGCTAACCTGGATAGAGTGTATACAAATGGGTCAAAAGTTCTATTTCAGTTCTAGTGCCTGGTAATTTTTATTTTTTTTTACATCTTTAAGGGACTCAAGCAGTGAGATTCCCCTGCTCTGTTTCGGCCCCACTTTCAAGGTCATAATGATGGCATTCGCCAACCGAAGTACTCGGCTTTTCTTCCCCCCGCATTATAGAGAGTTCATTACGGAAGGGTGACACCATCATTTGGCTTTGTAATGGCTACAAGGGTTTACTGAAACAAATTCTGGATCATAGATATTGCCTCTGAAGCTCCCAAAGAACATAAGGAACCAACATGTGGTTCAACTTGATGGCAACCACCCTTATTCATTCGTGGTGGAGTTTGCCTTTTAAAGGAGGTTTTCATGCAACGTACTAAATTCAGTATAAAATCTGTAAAGTGGAACTTGTTTTTTGGACGCACTGTTTTGGGGGAAAATGTTTTAGACATCATTTCTTTCCATCTACAGTATAGGTCTGCATCCAATGTTGTTCCCTCCTGTCATCTACAGCTTGTGATTTAGAAATGTGCCTTCAGCTGCTGAGATGTAATTTTGTAAATTTTGTACTGCAGCTCACAGTAAAAAAAAAAAAGTTAGTGCACCTTAGTGGAGGATGATGGGGCAGCCTGTCTGAAAAGCTGGACTGAAAGTCTTCCAGAGGTCTCTTACCCTCGCTGCTCCCTTGGCTGATCTAATGCTGTCAGTGTCCTCCGGATGTCTCCTCCTCTCCCTGCTTCCATTGCTAGTCTGATGTTGTGAATGCCCTCTAGTAATCTCTTCCCCTTTTTGCTCCCTCTTCTGGTCTGATGCTATATTTGCCCTCCAGCTGTTTCCTGCACTCACTGGCCCTTCTGCTGGTCTGATGCTATATTTGCCCTCTAGTTGGGTCCTTCCCTCACTGTTCCCTGATACTATAAATGTCCTCCAGCAATCTTTTCCCCCTAATTACTCCCTCTGCTAGTCTGTTGCTGCCAATGCCCTCTAGTTGGGTCCTTCCCTCACTGCTCCCTCTGCTGGCCTGGTGCTGTAATGCCTTCCAGCTGTTGCCTCCCTTCACTGCTCCCCATGCTAAACCGGTGCTGGGAATGTCCTCTTCAATCTCCTCCCCTTACTGCTCTTTCTGCTGGTCTGACATTGGGAATGTCCTCCATCACTCTCATATCTTTACTGGTCCCCCTGTTGGTTTGACATTAGGAATGCCCTCCATCATTCTCTTATCCCTTCTTCATCCCCTGTTGGTCTGACACTAGGAATGCTCTCCATCAATCTCATCATTACTGCTCCCCCTGTTGGTCTGACACTAGGAATGCTCTCCATCAATCTCATCATTACTGCTCCCCCTGTTGGTCTGACACTAGGAATGTCCTGCGTCATTACTGCTCCCCCTGTTGGTCTGACACTAGGAATGTCCTCCAGCAGTCTCCTCCCCACTCTTCTCCCCTTTCTCTGATCCGAGCTAGAAAGTCCAGACATGGTGTAGGAAACCATTAGACTTGATTCACATGTATCCAACCACAAACTCTTGTATATGCCTAGACTGACCCCTTAATTTTGGTATTTGTTTAGCACTATGAAGCTTTTAAAATCTTTACACTTTTTTCTTTCAGGGCAGAGAAGACTGAGGTCCTGAGTGATGATCTTTTGCAGGTAAGTGATTTAATTACTGAGGAAGAGCAGGATGATAACGCTATTGTTGACAGTTTGACTTTCTTTGATATAGACTCAGTAGTAGACATGCACTACATGGCCAAAAGTATGTGAACCCCCCTCCAAATGATTTTGTTTAGGTGTCTCCAGTGAACGGCTCTGTTAATTTCTACAGAATACAATTCTGTTCTTCCAACCATGTGCAAACAGTTTGTTGAAGGCCCTTCTCTGTTCCAGCATGACGATACCCCTGTGTAACATGCCAGCTCCATAAAGTCATGGTTTCATGAGTTTGGTGTGGAGGAACATGCACAGAGACCTGACCTCAACCCTACTGAACACCTTTGGGATGAGTTGATGGTGAGCCAGATCTTCTTCTCATCAAACATCAGTACCTGATCTCACAAAAGCTCTTTTGGCCAAATAGGAAAACAATTGCCACAGGCACCCTCCAAAATCTTGTGGAAAGCCATCCAAGAAGAGTGGAGGATGTTAAATCCACAGAGGAGGGCCCATAGTATTGCCCGAATTTTTGGAATGGGATGTCCAACAAGCTTATATAGGTGTGATGGTGAGGTGTCCACAGACTTTAGGTCATATAGTGTATGTCAAGGAATGTTAATTTTGGGCTTCTCTGTTTTATGTTCATTTTGTATGAAGATCTCCACTGCTTACCAGCACAGTCTAATGCAAGGAAGGATGTTGTCATTGTGACTAGAGGTGCACCGAAATGAAAATTTCCAAACCGAAATAACCAAAAATGTCAGGCCGAAACCGAAAAATGTTTTTTATTTTTACTTTTTCAATTTACTTAACTTTTAACTTTACTTTTAGGGGCTAGGGGCTTTAAACCATCACAGTAAAAGCTCTATCAGAAAGCAGGCTCCCTCAGGATTTATTTTGGTTGAAAGTAGACCTTTCAGTAACTTTACAAGTCTGCATGAATAAATTCCTGACCTGTCACAATATACAGTAACAGTATCAATAAGTTCCATCTGTTATCATTTAAAAGCTTTAATTAAGCTAAAGTCATCTACTTTACCTAAGCTGAGATGATGTCATCAGTCTGCTGCAGCAGGAAGAAGCATTTCCACAGTCTTCCCATAGCCCATTGATCATATTGCAACATTGTAACAAGCCACAAGGCAAGGTAAGAGGCTGCAGCATTGGCTGATTTGTGTTAGACCTTTTGTTAACACAGCCAAGACCTTCACAGACACCAGCATTTACATGACAGTCTCATCTCTGAGCCAGCATCTCTCAGTCCAGGAAGTAGGTGGTGAGCCTGGATGATACCTGAGCAGAGATGGTGATGTCTTTCTAGAGAGAAAAGCAGATGAAGGCATTGTCGGGGGGGAGTCATGTGATCTCCGTGAGAGGTAATAAATACCTGGGAGTGTTACACTGACACATTACTCGGCATGTTGCAGTCAACATTAAAAAAAAATCATGTTTTCAGGTTTCTAGTGGCACGTGACCGGTGCATTTTGTGTCTGCGGTGGGGATGGATTTTAAATCCTAAAAGCCAGATATATTTAGCATTTCTGTAAAGAGAATACATTACTGGATATAAATCATATTGTTTTATTTTGGATTTTTATTAAGTTGCTAAATAGTAAATGTTGTTAAAAAAAGGGGGGGGGGGTTTGTTTCTCCCCAAATTTCCCTATGAATGTAACCGAACCATGGCTGGTTCATTGACCTTGTCTGGTTTTATCCAATAGGTGGAGAAGCGGCTGGAGCTGGTGAAGCAAGTCTCTCACAGCACCCACAAAAAGCTGACGGCATGTTTACAAGGGCAGCAAGGGACCGAGACAGACAAACGATCGGTAAGACCACATTTTCCACTGAAACCCAGTCGAACTCAGTTTAAGTCAGCCAAATGCATTCCAGGTGTGCAAATTCCTACAGTTTGGTTTCTTTAAAATGTAGAAAAGTCTGTCCCCTGCCAGCATGCTGCAGAGAAGGACTCTTGCTCTCTGAGTGGAAGCAGCGGTCTCCCTGCAGAGGTCTGACACGCTGTAAAAAAAAACTTATTTAACCCCTTTGCAACCCTTAGTTAACTTTAATCTGCCCTAATGAGCTCCTTTTCTCCCCTTCTCTCCTTTGCTGTTAATCAGCATTTTAGGACAAACAAGGATTTCTTTTGGTATATCTGTATGAATGAATGAATGAATGAATGAACTTTTCGTACACAAGAAGAGTGGGATAGTAAAACCGTTATTACAGAATTTTTCTCTGCTTAATTTGCTGCGTGAATTTTAGCCCCGCCTTCCATTTATCCTCAGACTATTCTTCGGGGTAATTGCAGGGACTTGGTGCGGCAGGGGATGAAGACGCACACCTGGGAATATTTACTGATTCCCTAGAAAACATTAGTGATGACGTTCAAACTGCGAAGACTCATTGCGGCCAATCAGCTTTTAGGCAGTGACGTGCGGCACCTCTTGTTCCGGGTGAGGCATTCCCCAACCTCACCCCTGTCGGACGAAGCCCCACCCCCAACTCGTCCCCAAGCTAGTGTGAAGGAGGAAGGGAGGAGACCGGGAGGAGCCTCCCTGTCCCATATTTGCTCCTCACTGCTGAGGCGCTCCGTCCATGGCAGGTTACACAGCGGGGAGGATTTCCCTTCTGTGTAACCTGTTAGATGCCGATCTGAATGGAGAAAAAGCTGTCAGACATGAAGCCGACAGCTTTTTCCTTCATAATTCTAGGTGAGGCTCTGCCTCCCCTGACCGCACGTCCCTGCTTTTAGGGTGCAGTAATCCAGATAATTGAATGCTGAGTTTTGATTGGTTGATAGGGATTATGGCATGTCGCTCTTAAACCTGAAACATCAGAAAGAATTCCCGTCAAATGGAAAGGTATTTTTCAGCGTACCAAACTACAAAGGAATAAAGAAAATAGAAACTGGAGAGTTTCGGTGCTGGCATTAATTTTTTTTTTTCTATGCTCTGTCCAGCCAAATCCGCAGTGTACAGTGTAAAGTACACTGAGTGGCCGGATTATTATATACACTGAGTGGCCGGATTATTATGACCACCTGACGTTTGTAGGCAAATTAGCTATAATTTGGCGCTGAAGTTGCTAGAGGGCCAGACCATTATAAATAGGGAAGCAGGTTGGTTATCACGACAGTAGAAGTGATTTGTTTCTGAAGATACGAGGAAACAACGCGATGTAACAGCCTTTGAACGCGGGATGATTGTTGGCGCTCGGAGCCATGGAGCGAGTATCAGCAAAACAGCAGAATTCGTTAAATGTTCAAGAGGGGCTGTTGTTAAAGTGTTTAAAGACCTGACTGTCAGCCGAAAATCTGGGTCTGAACGTGCGAATTGTGGCCGTCAGCGACTAGTCAATGTTAGGGCAGAACGGGGGAGGGGCAAGACTGGTACAAGACAACAGAAGGGCAACAGTGCCGTGTCAGATTCCTCGCATCACCTTTCACCATCTCGTGGAGTCACGAGGCGGCCCAACGAAGTATTGATGGGGTGGTCATAATAATCTGGCCACTCAGTGTATATTTACATTAAAGTTCTCATTCCTGGAATTCAGTTTTAGGTTTTTCGTTTCTGCAGCACTCTGGTTGTCATTCTCTGTCTGTGTTTTCCTCTCTTCAGAAAAAGTTGCCCCTAATTACACTGGCGCAGTGTCTCATGGAAGGATCAGCTGTACTGGGAGATGATTCTTTGCTTGGGTGAGTTTATCGTTTTCTTTTTAGCTGCATTGAAGATGGCCGCACTCTGGGGTAGTGAGATATTTAAAGAGGAAGTCTTCTTTAAAGTTTACTTCCACATTTCCAATTAAATTCGAGCAAACCCCGTTGTGTTTGTAGTGTGTTCCCATGCACAATTTTTAAAAATCTATTTCTTACTCTTTCGGTGTCACGATTTGGGCAGACTCCTGTTCAAAGTGACAGAAAACTCTGTCCCAGTAGAAAAGACAGACTGATCTTCTTCTCATTTACATACAATGCTTCTAGATCTTTAACCCTTTGTTAGGACAGACAGAGTTCAAATCTAGTTTACAACTAATAATGAGATCTGCCAGCACAGCACAAACAGGGTTAAGCAACCCGCCCCCCTTGCATTCCAAAGGAGTCCTTTTTTAAAGTTATGCAATGTAAATAGGAACATGTAATAGATGTAAAATAGGTGCTATCCCCGTGTGGCTGCAAAAGTGGAAATACACTTTAAACATATCTACATAACAGTATCAATATATGCAAATTATACAACTCCATGCCTCATAGATCGATCCTATAATTAAATAGGAGGACGAGGCAGAGGACTGAGATCCTGGCCCGACCCCTTGGAGGTTAGCTGATTTGGTTTTATAATCTACATAACAGACTATAAAGAATGTGTTTCTAACACTAAAATGTTTTGAGTCCTTCGTGGGATTTTCTGCTGCGTCCCATTGGAGAGATTTCTCTTCACATTCTGTCCCAGAAACACAACAGGATGTCAAAAGAAAACACCCAAAGAGATGGAAATCCCCTCTTATGCAACTGTTTCTGAACCGGTGTCCCCATTGGAAGGTTTCCCCTCTATTCCTGTTCTGGTGACACCTGTAAAATGTTGGATTTCCCATCAATTCAGGTCCCACCAACAGTGGTCATCAGGACAGATAGAGAGGGGTGAACCTCCCCATCGGGGACACAGACCTTTCAAAACTAAAAAAAAAAAGCTTGGATTTTAGATGCACTTTAAAGGGTACCCTTTACAAACCTGGGTTAAAGTAAATGGCAAAATTATTATTAATATACAGGATTTATATCGCGCCAATGGTTTGCACAGCTTACAATTATAATACAATTCAAGACAAGATGGTAAGGAGGGCCCTGCCCCTGAGGGCTTACAATCTAAAATGATCTGTAGATCTGAAGTTACAGGGATATGTATGCAAATCTTGACTTGCGGAACGGATGGGGGAGGGGGCGGGTACAGCTGGCTCTGCCTCTAGATAGGCAGAGCCAGCTGTCAGTCACGCAGCCTGGCGGATCCAGACATAATTGTCGGGATCCGCTTCAGCTGTGGCGTCTCAGTATACCGCAAACTACAGCTTGCGGTATACTGAGCCTAGGGTGACGGGAGGACGCTAGTTTTGTCCTCCCATTACCCTAAGGAGAACTATGGGGAAAAGCCTTAACCCCATAGTTCTCCTTTAAGCGGTTCATGTATATGTATTTCAGCTGTATGTTCAGAGATTTGTCTGGAGCTCCCCTTTTACGTGCCCGCCTTGTCTTGTTTGTAGGAAGATGCTGAAGCTGTGCGGAGAGGCTGAGGACAATTTAGCCCAGGAGCTCATCCACTTTGAGCAGGAGATAGAGAGAGATGTGGTGGACCCATTGTTCGTCCTCGCCGAGGTAAATGGGAGGGTTAAAGCTGATGTTTGAACTGCTGATATTTTTGCTTTCCCTGGTTCCTTTTTATATGTCTTCTCCCAAAAAGGAAAAGAAACTCTACATTCTAGCAATTTATTTTATGTATAAAAACTGGATTGATGTCTAAAAACGTTCTTCCAGCCGTACGCTGTGCAAATTCCATTCTCACAGCATGCCCTCCACTAGATGGAGCATAGGAAGTTCCTAAATGATTTATAAAAATTCCACCTAACCATAAGCCGTTCTCGCGCCATTACCGCCAATAGGTGGAGCCGAGAAGCATAGGTAATTGCTCCTCAGCTCTATCTAGTGGTGAGAATAATGTGCAAACAGCATTCACTCACCATACAGCTAGGCAGAAGTTTTATAAATCAACCCCATAGTGTTCTTCTATTCATAAAGGAGAACCAAGCACCACCAGCTGTAAAGGATGGGGAAAATGGGTTGGGGGGCTGGCTGGAAACCAAAAAAGACGCTAGTCCATCCACAAATTAGGTACAGAGGTGAACACATATCTGCCCGGAAAGACTAAACCCAAAAAGCCCAGTAATGAGGAAAAGAAATGTAACTGCATCAGAGAAAGATGCGTGAAACCATTGAGTCCAGGAGAGGTAGTGTATCCCGGATCGGTCTATGATGACTGGAGGTCAGTTCGGGACCGGTGGCCAAGCGTTCTAAGCCGATTATGATGCGATAAGCCTTTACCGATGAGCCGTTGAGCCTTCGGTCTTTATTTGCCCCTCTGTTATTATGGACTGATGCAGGATACACTATCTGCAAACAGAACTGGTATCATTGTTCCGGCCCTAGCCTGATCCCGATATGCCTTTTATGTATTTAAATTCAGTCTTATCGTAACAGGTCCTCTGTATTCTTTTAGGTGGAGATTCCCAACATCCAAAAACAGAGGAAGCACTTAGCCAAATTAGTCTTGGATATGGATTCTTCTAGAGCGAGGTGAGGCCCACATTCTGTTCCCGAGGATTCCTCCAGTTCAGTCTGGAACCTTCTTATTGATTAGGGATCAAGTCCCGGCATCCACCATACTCAACTCAACTCGGTGCTTTAGGTAAAGCCCAACTCCAACCAAAATGTTTTATTTGGATCAAGCAGGAACGTGTTGGAGCTCCATTGGGTTTTTTATTGTCATTTGTGTCCCTTTTGGGACGGTTGTCCCTCACTTCCTTTTACATGTCCTCTATGGCCTGGAGCTCAAGGTTTGTAGGCCAGATATGGAGGTAATTATCCACCTTAGGAGCGGTTTCATGGTTGTCTGCTCCCAGCTGTGCAAAATATGGAAGCTACGGCTCGTTCACCTGGTAGGTCAGTCTTCTGCAGCCTCCGGTCACAGCCATCCCTGCGAATCCATCACTCGCTGTGCGGTTAGACAGTCGGCAGCGTCTGACTCACAATCTCCATCTCTGGAGCTTTGTGGAAAATTAAGCGAATTGGATCTATTGATTCTCTCTGCTGCTGGAACGAGTCAGCGGCTCGTAGGGAACATGACTGCTGTGCGTGATTGAGAGAAGTAAGTAGGAGAATAACCTGCACAGACAGCCGCAGAAAACAAAGGAAGAGTCTTCATGGGGGAGCGAAGGAAATGTCACATCGCTAATCATTTTTATAGACTTGATTATGGATATTGAAGAGCGATTTCCAGCTCTGGGGCATAAAGTTTGAGTCTAAACTGGGATTTGATCTAATGCACATATTTACCTCTGTAGATGGAATTTGCCAATTATTAGATGTGGTGAAGTGGGCTTGTAAGAGGATCTTTGGAAATCCTCCTCCCACACGCACTATTAGTCTCACCACTTTCTCGGGACACTCCATTTGTCTTTCTGAGCCCTCAGAAATCACGGGTGATTCTGTCTATAAGGGAGAGTGTGACCTCCATTTCCTCCCAAGGTGCCTGGTTTCTGGTGGCCATTGGAGTCTCTGACTCTTTTGTCGCCTGAAGTTCCTCTGTAGATGAAATCTACTAATTATTAGATGTGGCAAGTTGGGCTTTTAGGAGAATCTTTCAACCAGGCAATGTTCTCATGGAAGTCCACCTCCCACATCCACTATTAGTCACACCACTTTCCCGGGGTACTCCATTTGTCTTTCTGAGCCCTCGGATATCACCGTTGATTGTGTCTATAAGGGAGCATGTGACCTTCTCCATTTCCTCCCAGTGTAATGGATTTTTGGTGGCCATTGGGGTCTCTGACTCATTTGTTGCCTGAAGTTCCACTGTAGATGAAATCTACCAATTATTAGATGTGGCAAGTTGGGCTTTTTTGCCTGGTTCGAACGCTCTGCAAAACGCTCAAACACCGAAATCCCACTATTTCCTATGGGTATGGTTCACACCTGGGCGTATTACAGGCCGTATGAACGCGCTACAAAACGCCCTACGCCCAAAGAAGTACAGGAGCTTCTTTGGGGCGTTTTTTGTCGCGCGTTTCCATTTGGATACAGCCAAGTAGCCCCGGAAACGCGCGTTTGTCGCACGGTTTTTTACAGCGAATCGCGGTAAAAATGCGCGTCACAAAACGTGCGACAAACGCGCATATTCGATACGCCTAGGTGTGAACCCAGCCATAGGAGAATCTTTCAACCAGGCAATGTTCTCATGGAAGTCCACCTTCCACTATTAGCCACACCACTTTCCTGGGATACTCCATTTGTCTTTCTGAGCCCTCAGAAATCTCCGGTGATTCTGGCTATAAGAGCACACGTGACCTTCTCCATTTCTTCCAGGGTGCAGTGCAGAGACCTGAGCAGCCAGTCGCCAGGCCAGAAAAATTTCATGGGAGGGGTGAAGGTCATTAGCACTGTGTAAACTCCAACACCGATTGATACAGAGCATACCCAGGTTGCTGACAGATATACAGCAAAAGGTGTGTATCATTGGGCGGGGATAGACTTTTTTGGAAGAAACTGCAACTAGGCAAAGTTAAATGTTCTCATAAAAGTCCTCCCACCCGCAACCATTGATACAGTAGCTTCACCACATTTAGGGGATACTTTGCTTTTCTGTGCCCTCGGAACTTACCAGTGCTCCAGGCAATAGGGAAGCATATGACCTTCATTTCTTCCCAAGGTGCTGGGTTTCTGGGGGCGATTGAGGTCTCTGACTGATTTGTTATCTGACATTCCATTATTAGATGGGGCAAAGTGGGCTTTCAAGGCAACCAGTCAATGTTCTTATGAAGGTCCACCCAGTCACACCCACTATTAGCTACATCGTTTTCCACAGATGCTCCATTTTGTCTTCCTAAGCCCTTGAATTCTGGCTATAAGGGAGTATGTGACCTTCTCCATCTCCTCCCAGGGTGCAGGGGCCTGAGCAGCCGGTTGCCAGGCTGGAAAAAGAAGGGGGGGAAGGTCATTACCACTGTGTAAGCTCCAACACAGATAGACATGGAGCTTATCCAGAGTGCTGACAAATGAACAGAACGACGGGGTAGCAAGGCAAAGGTGTGTATCATTGGGTGGGGATGGACGTTTATTTTAAGAGAACCTGTTTATTTTAAGAGCACTTATTGCTCTGCCCCTTGAAAGTTTCCTACCATTGATTAGAAGTCCTCTCACACTGAAATGTTCTCTTTTTGTTGGTGGTTTACAGGTGGCATCAGTCTGCGAAGTCATCCGGTGTCTCTAGCAATCTGCAACCCTCCGGAGCGAAGGCTGACGCACTGAGGGAAGAGATGGAAGAGGCCGCCAACCGCGTGGAGATCTGTAGGGTGGGTGGAGCCTCTGCTCCCACTTTAAAAATATTGCCGCTTCTTTCGACACAGTGCGTCAAAAATAACCGTCTGTTTTTCCTTCCTTCCAGGATCAGCTGTCAGCAGATATGTACAACTTTGTGGCCAAAGAAATCGACTATGCAAACTATTTTCAGACGGTAAGTGTAGAGAATGCAATCGGATTGCTAGAGGTTCCTGGGGAAAACCCAACTGTAGTCAATCGGGATGTCAGAACATTCTGTGGATTCGACTACGTTTGGCCAATTAGAGTCTTAGAACATGTACATGACTACACCAGCAGACAGCCAATCAGATGAGCAGATTTTTTGCAGATTAGACAACCTACAGCCAATCGGTGCATTAAAATGTTGACTAGACCCACCAGTGGTCAACTAGATGTTTGGAACATGGAGAAGACTAGACCTGCAACCAACCAGAGCACTTACACAATGGAGTTTTAAAGGGTTCATGGTTCTGCATGAACACCTCCTTATCCTCTAAGTCAGTGTTTCTCAAGCTGTGTAACCTCGGGACCCACATGTTTCCTTGGTCATTAAGGCGTGACCCAAAAATGATTTCATTTATGAAACATTTTAATTTATTACACAAAACAACTTGTGCAGTATTCAGCAATATATATTTTGCTGAAAGTAAATGAATTAAAAAAAATTAAAAAGTTTATAAAGAATAAAAATTAAATATTTAAAAAAATTAAAATAAAAACGTGTGGGGGTGGCGGTTGCGGGGTACAGTTCCAATGGATGTTTATATAAGGGGGGGGGGGGGGGAATGTCTGCCCCGGGCGCCCATAACTCTGGTTACGCCACTGATACTGATGGACATTATGTGGGCTTGGAATACATAATGTCCATCAATGTACCCTGTCCTAATGTCCCCTGTCAGTGCAGAACCTGGAGGGGGTGGTGAGGGTGTCTGTATGGGGAAGGGGGGGCATTAGCAGGGGCACCACGGCAGGTTCTCTACTAAGCCCCTGCTAATGCCCCCCGAAGCTTCTGCATTGACAGGAGACATTACGACAGGGGACACTATTGGATATTATGTGGGCTTGGAATACATAATGACCATCGGTGTCCCCTGTCATAAAGTTCCCTGTCAGTGCAGAAGCTGGGGGAGGGGTGCATTAGCATAGGCTCTGCTGCAGGTAAAAAAATTGCAGCGGAGCCCCCTGCTAATCCCCCCCCCATACCCTCCCCAGCTTCTGCACTGACAGAGGACAATATGACAGGGGACACTGATGGACATTATGTATTCTGAGCCCAGTCTGTGTAATAACATTAATTGTGTATTTAATTAACATACATTATGACAGGGGACAGTGATGGATATACATGATGGATATTATGTGGGCTTGGAATGCAATATATCCATCAGTGTCCCCTGTCCTGCCACAGTGCACATCTCCCTATCTGCCTGCCTACCTTTCTCTGATTCCAGCCGACTGAACTATCTGGACTGGAGAGTACAGTAGATACAGCGGCGGATTGATATCTGCTGTACTCTCCAGTGCAGGCCGGAACTATAACTTAATTGTCGGGCGCCGCGGCTCCTGATATTAATGCGCCGGCCCGAAAGTGAGGAAATAGTCCCCTCTCTCCCCGGGCCATACCACTTTATCGGAGAGCCCGGGGGAGGCCGGGAGAGAGGGGACAGTTTGACATTATGAGGTTCCACAGGCTGAACCACAAATTCCCCCTCTAGTTCTCTCTAATGCAGATGGGCCGGTCTATGCAGACATGACGCCGCGACCCACTTTTGGGTCGCGACCCACGAGTTGAGAACCACTGCTCTAAGTCTTATTATTGTAAATTATAAGTGAAGCTTTACAGAGTTATTTTGGGTGGAATGAAGCAGAGTTTGTTCCAAGTCTTTACCCCCAATGAGGAGATCCCACTCGCAAACTACCTGCCACGTCCGGACCTATGGTGATAACCAGGGTTGAACTTTATGGTTGCTTCTTTGAAGTCTATTCATCGTGTGCCCCTCAGCACTCCCCAATAGAAGGAGAGGGGAGAGCATCACTGCCCCACCGCACACACCCTGTCACAGCCAGTCATGTTAAGGGGCTTCAAACTCAGCTGAGATCCACCCAAAAACTAGATAACGTTTTAGGCTCATCGTACACATTACAATCTGATTACACAATCTGTACAATCAACTTTAGATTTCCCAAAACTACCTAAACAACTATCTAATCAATCCATATTCAGTCAGGCAGGCAGGCCCTTGTGCTACATGCTTGCTGGCCTAAACATCTAAATCTTGTGCCCGGTAGCACCGGTAATCTCTGAGAGCTCAGAAAGACAAAGTATGCTGGGAATGTGGTGACGCTATCAGTGGGTGGGGGTGGGAAGACTTTTATGAGAACGGTTCACTTTGCCTGGTTGTAGGTTCTCCTAAAAAAAAAAAAAGTCCATCCATACCCAAAGATAGGTAGATCTAAAGGTGATTGTACAATCAGATGGTAACGCAACGTGTCTCGAACCTTAGTTAGAATTCCACCCTAGAGGGATTGGCATGGTTTGAGTTCAGGTTTCTAACTGTAACTAGAAAGCAAATCTTGATCTCGGATACATTGTGGTTGATTCTTCTCCTGCATTGTACAATTAACCAATTTCATATCTCACAGCTTATAGAAGTTCAGGCTGAGTACCACAGGAAGTCTCTCGCGTTACTGCAAGCCGTGCTGCCCCAGATCAAAGCCCAGCAAGGTGTGTATTAAAAAACCTGATATGACGTATATGTCCAGCATAGTCCAGCATAGTATGTCTGTGTATGTCCGGCATAATGCCTAAGGGCCCCCTGCAGTGTGGTCTGGGTATCGAACGGGACTCCTTTTAGATAAGAAGACCTTGGGTTCAGTGGTATGGTACCCCAACAAGCTAGTTTGGGTCGGGGGATTGTTTTCTGCCTCCTTAAAGCTGAATTCCAGGCAGATGCTGTGTAGCAGACACAAATGAATACAGCTCTTCAATAATAAAAACATATTAGGGGGAATTTATGAATCTGGAGCAGTTGCCCATAGTAACCAATCAGCCTCTGTCTTCACTCCAGCTTTTGTCTGCTCCAGTTTTCATAAATTCCCCTCTATGTATTTATGGACATGATGCAAGCAGTGTAAGTACCTGAATTGACTTGGCATCAGGCCCTTGCATTCCCCTCATACAGCAGCACTCAGACTGGGAGAAAGAAGGGTTTGTTGCATGCAAATGTTTGATGAGGAATATGCTGATGGGAGGAGAGAGCAGCATGAGCAGACAGATGAGCTCATCATCTGCTGCTGCTCCTTCACTGCCCAATCAACAGGCTGGGGTGTGGAGAGCGGTTCACCACTGTGTTACTTCTAGTCTCTGTATCTGTAATAGGGACTAACTAACATCCAATCAGAAATCAGCCCCCGGGTCAGTGCACTGTAAGCTGGTTTGTAATTGGATGTTGTGATTTTCCAGCTGCATATTGAGTAAAACGCAGATGAATCGGTAGTGGTGACAAAGTAATTCATGACCGGTTGCTGTGCTTGTCTGTCCTCCCAGAGGCCTGGATAGAAAAGCCATCGTTCGGGAAGCCTTTGGAGGAGCATCTGACGGTTAGCGGCCGGGAGATTGGATTCCCCATCGAGGCGTGCGTCACCATGCTGCTGGAGTGCGGCATGCAGGAAGAGGTAAAACAAGACATCTGCTGGCCAAATACCCCCACCCCCCCATTCCCATTGGTTCACCCTAATGAGGCCCTGTTGTGTTGTCAGCCGAACGTCATCCGCTCTCTCAGTATCCGTGGAACGTCCTCAGGTCTGGGAGTGATTAGACGCTGATCCGCGCCTCCCCGCCGCTAATGCATGCAAAGTGTGCTAAGGGTGACATTTCTGATCGTCCATACCGACTTCTTTGATTTACTGTCGAAACCGGACTGTAAAACTGACATCTGGAAGCTGCTTGCTGGCTGTAGGAAGAACTAAGCGCAATCATTAAAAAAATCTCATGAAAGCTTCATCACACTCGCATGTCATTTTTAATACTTTTAAATCTGCAGCTTTTATTAAAATGATCCCCGGTGATCCCGCCATGGAGATCTTTGTTCCAGGCACTTCCTGTTATAGGGTGACAACGCTCTGTCCCCTGTCTCCCAATTGGGAAGGCAAAGTATAAACAAAGAATGGTTAAAGGAGAACTATGGGGTTAGGGCTTTTCCCCATAGTTCTCCTAAGGGTAACAGGAGGACACAAACTAGCATCCTCCCGTCACCCTAAGCTCAGTATACCGCGAGCTACAGCTCACGGTATACTGAGACACCGGAGCGTATCCCGACATCGATGTCGAGATCCGCCCAGCTGCGTGAGTGACAGCTGGCTCTACCTATCTAGAGGCAGAGCCAGCTGTACCCGCCCCCTCCCCCGTCCGTTCCACCAGTCAGCGATGGCAGATCGGAGGGGGGGAGGGGGGAATCCAGCCCCTCCCCTGTCACGGCAGAGAGCCGTGACAGGATCAAGAGGTGAGCGAATGTCGCTATGTGTTCTCTCACCTCCCGATCTACTAAGCCGACCTGGGACAGTCTCATTGTCACAGGTCGGCTAGAACTATGAGGTGAGTGAAAAGCACCCCCCCTCATAGTTCTCCTTTAACACGGTACAGTCGTCTACTACTGATTTGTACATCCGAACGTTTGGGACCCATCTATTCCATGGACTCATGAGAAGGCGTTAGAGGACCGCAGGCAGCACAGAAAATCCCATCCAGACACCCTGATCCATGATATCCTGCACTTATCAGCTCCCATGTAGCCCCGGCTGTCCTCCGATTATAAAACGTTTCTGGCAGTGAGGTCGGAGGAAAGGAAGAGGCTGGATCAGCCCGGAGTTGGTCCTTTGAAATCCACCATCTGGGATCGATTTCCACTTCCTGTGTGGTAGCCTTTGACATTCCTTGCGGTGTTTCATCTCCCAAATATCCGATGTGCTCGCCTTAGCTTGCCACTCTGCAGGATCACCAGTCACGTTAACCTCCACGGGCCTGACTGCTTGTGACCATAAGGGTCCCCACACACCTTACGATTATCGTATGATAATCGCGGGAAATCCCGCGATCGTACGATGATCGTAAGGTGTGTGGAAGCCGTGCGACCTCTACTACTGTAAGGTCGCACGACTTTAAACTTACGGACATGTTCGAAAACCCGCCGAGCATCGTACGATGTTCGGCGGGTTTGTGGCATGTCCGTACGATAACAGCCACACGGGCCGGTGTGCGCAAGCGCACACTGCCCGTTCGGCATTGCGGTCATCGGAAGCCCGCCCCTCATGGGGCGTGGCTTGCGATCATCGCAAGTACGATCTGCCTATGCAACATAGGTTTTTTAAGTACCTTACAACCATCGCAAGACAGAAGTCTTGCGATGGTTGTAAGGTGTGTGCCCAGCCTTAGATTTAAAGCTGAACCTTGGATAGATCTGGATGAAAGAAACACTGAGCACAATTTACATGATTAAAAAAACAGCTACATTTATTTAGAATGTATCTGAATTTGACTTTATTGAGGCTCTTGTAAAGCGCCTAGAGGGAGGGGGCAGCACAAGGGGGCCAATCAGGCACTCTGCTTTCCCATACGCTGATAAGGAAAATGCAGAGAGATGAGCTGCTCAGTATGTTGCTGCTCTATCACTGTCCAATCACAGCTTGGGGGCCGGGAGGAGACGAGGCTTTGTCTCTTTAACTGCTGCAAGCAAGTCACACGCATACACATGTAAAATGCTATGTAACTATGTCAATTACCATGCTGTGCTGTGTGGCAGAGCTGTGTGAATCTCAGGACTGATGGGGGAAAAAATGTGATCCACAATCCCACAGACTCTAGTATAGTTACATTGCCTCTCCAGGTGCCTCACTTTGTTGCCGAGAATCTTCATACATTTAATTTTGGAGTTTGTTCTTTATTATTTATTATCATTATTGTTATTTATTCAATATAAAATGGCCAGCACATTTTGGGGGCTTAAGAGGTATCGCTCTTCTTCAGGGCTACAGAATTGAATTCCTTATCTGTTTTGTAGCCATGGGGGATAACTTTTATCCCTTGAAACGCGTTGGTGGTTTTATGTCGTCTTGCTGAGAGAATAGTATATGTATGGACTTAGTGCAGTATATGTAGTTTCCAAACTTCTGTTCCTCCGTTTAAGGGGCACCCTGTTTGTGTTTAAGGGCAACCTCACTGGAGCTTTTGCAGCCCATATGAACTTGTTTGATTTTATAAATTCATGATCCATTGATGAGCCAAATCCAGCGCCTCAGTCACAAATATTGCAGAGAACCTTATTACAGTCACATGATCTCAGCCCAAGGGTAGGACCAGAAACAGGCCTTGGCTGCTTAATGGCTGTCTTGCCATTGGTGCCCTCAGCCATGCCAGCAATGATCACCCAGCCGTGCACCGCACTCCGTGACTCCATTGTCTGTCCCTCTCTTCTCTCCAGGGTTTGTTCCGTGTGGCTCCTTCTGCCTCCAAACTGAAGAAGTTAAAAGCTGCCTTAGACTGTTGTGTTGTTGATGTGGCGGAATACTCTGCAGATCCGCACGCTATTGCAGGTTGGTGTCCTTGTACGAATTTGTTTTTAATACATGGGAAAGGATTCCCAGAGAACTATGTTATCCAGAAAGACAGCCCAGCAGAAGCTGCAACACTTTCTCTGATTGAGACTTGAGAGCATAAGAGAAGGATCATTCCTTTGACTTAGCCTGAGCTGTTCTGTAACAAGAGGCTCCATTCGGCTTAGTTCTACCTTCTGGCTTACAACTGGCTAAACAACAACAAAAAATGTTTAAAGCTGTATTATTTTTTTTGTTATATTGCTTATAATAAAGAAAATATGTACAACACCACTAATATGTGCCCTTCAAAGGAGCACTGTCTCCAAATCAAATTAAATTGCAGTTAAAAAGCACAGAAAAATAACGTTTTTAAACTCCGTACATTCAATGTCTCATTTCCATAAATAATTTTTCATTTACTTGCAATGCGCCTTTGAACCTGCTCGAAAGTTTGACTTCTCCAGGAAGAGTCAATTTCCTAGCACAGGAGGGTCTCATTTCCCTCTGGGCTGGCCCAGCTCCCCCTACCCCCTCCCCTTCACCTCTCTACATAACCTTTTTATTTGGCTGGCAGGGGAGAAGTGAAGGGGAGTACTATAGAGGGTCACTTGAGTGACCGCTCTGAGGCTTATAGGTTGAACTCGATGGACTTGTGTCTTTTTTCAACCTGACTAACTATGAGGCTGCTGATATCACATCCAAGATGGCGGCACCCAGCAGCAGTCTCGGGGCTTTTGGGTGTCTGCACAAGGGAGGCCTTTACAGGTAAATAACATGCCTAATATTTGTTAAATTCACCTATAACCATATGGAAGGATTGTTGCTGAAATTAATAGTCTTGCGAGGTCCCTTTTTAAGGTTCCCCAATGCCAGACACATACACTCATTTTGGCTCATGTGCAGGTCCCTTTACAGACGGGATGCATTTCATTGTAGCTCCTGCTCCTGTGCTTAATTCTAGGAAAGGTGGCAGGGTGATGATGACTACAGGAGCAGGAGGATGAGGATTCATGAAAATCCTTTGCTACTAACTATGCTAAGGTGCTGCATTGCAGGGAAGGGAAATATGAATGTTGTTTGGTAGCTATAGCAAATGTCAGAGTCCACCTAATATTTCTATTTATTATAAAATTAAATATTAGGTGGTTAATATTATAATTATTATAATATATTATAATTAAATATTAGTAATATATTACAGAATGGCATTTGTAACAAATTTAGAGTTATACTTCAAAGGAGTCCTCTCTACTGACCATTTTACCAGTTTCTTGCATTGCACAACTGGGATTATCACATGACATCAAGCAGTCTGACCTTACTAAGGTTAGACACCATCATCTGATGTGGTGCACCCCCCAGAAATCCCTCCATAGTGAGGACCCTGTAACCACAAATGTAAAAAAAATCATAGATGACCTGTTTAAATGCATTTCGAGTTGAGGTGTGTTTTTAATTTCCACCTCTTGGTCATTCGTCTCTTTTGATTTATACTGTGATTTGCAGGGGCGTTAAAGTCTTACCTCCGAGAGCTTCCAGAGCCCCTCATGACGTTTGAGCTGTATGAGGAATGGATCCAAGCTTCCAAGTGAGTCTGCACTGGCATCAGAAATGTGTGTGTGTGTGGGGAGGGGGTCATGGGGACGTCTGTTCTGGGCGGTGCAGCGTGGCGGGAGAGGTGTTTGTTTGTGGCTGGCTTGCAGTGTGGCTATAGGGAGCTTTAAAGCAGAACTCAAGGTGTTAAAGTAAGACTCTCCCCCTTCCCCTTTTCTACCCTTTGACTTTCTAAATCAGAAGTAGGCAACCTTGGGTGTTGAAACAAAAAATCTCATCCTGCATTTGCCTCGTGGAGTCATGCTTGTGGCTGTCAGTCTTGCAATGCCTCTTGTAGCTCCACAACAGATGGAATGCCAAGGTTGCCTAGCCCTCGTTTAGATTGTCCAGGGTAATGAGTTACTTTAATGCCCCCTCCCCAAAATAGCTTACAATCTAGTCCCCCTGCACCACACTCCTACATATACACACACACTGGGCCAGGTTGTGAGTCAACCAATGTAGTGGTAAACCCACATGATCACATGAACATTTAAACTCAATGGGAATCATCATTGCTAGGGTCCCAGGTCTGAAAGGCTTGAGTGCCAGCTACTATGCTGCTCGTCTTTACTAGCATAACACCAGAGGATGGCTACTCATGTGACTTAAGGCATATTCACAGCCAGCCACGTATGATCTTTATCTGTTTCAGCGTTCAGGATCAGGACAAAAGGCTTCAGGCTCTCTGGAATGCTTGTGAGAAGCTGCCAAAAGCCAACTACAACAACTTCAAGTAAGTCGCCTATAGTGGTCACCATTTTGTATATTGAGTCTGGCTGTATCCTTTGTACTTATAGGCAAAAAAGTTTTAGCATTGTCCGTGAGTAATATGTGTCATTGTCTCCTATTGTGCAAGATGGTAGGGCTTCCGGCCCTGTTTGGCCATTCTGGCCTCTTTTTATATCAGGGGGTTGGCAACCCCGGCACTCCATGCCTCTGCCTCTGGAAGTCATGCCTGTGGCTGTCATAGTCTTGTAATGCCTCATGGGATTTGTAGTTTACCGCTGGAGTTCTGAGGTTGCTAACCCCATTTTTATATCTTGCCATTCCCCCAGCAGTTTCCAGTCAGCCATTTTGTACTCTTTCCTCCTCCCGCTTCCTCCTTGCAAGTTGATAGTTTGCAGCTAAACCAGCCGTAATTTCATTTCAGGTACGTCATCAAGTTTCTGTCCAAGCTGACGGAGTATCAAGACGCAAACAAAATGACTCCCAGCAATATGGCCATTGTACTGGGGCCTAACCTTCTCTGGCCACAAGCGGAAGGGTAAGTTGGCCAAACATGGTTATTAAGAACTTGTTCTCTTCTTCTTCTTTTTTTTTTAAGCCTTGAGCTGGGGATGGAAGACCTGCCGCACTCAGGATTTTGGAGGTGTCAGAAAGTTATAAAGAGCAGGGAGAGGGATGGAATTGCCTATTTTGTGACCCTCACTACCATGGGTGCCAGGGGTGGTTGGGGATGCTGCTGGTAGTGCACGCAATCAGAGCAGCAGGTAGAGGAGACATTGCCTCCAGACACTAGACTGACGCCGCCCTCTGCAGGCTCTGCATCTCCCTGCCCTGCCCAGTTCTTAGCAACTTGGGATGCTCTGGCCGGCGTCCCACCCAGCTCCTGCCAACCAGTGGCATTACTGGTTGCCAGGCGCTGGGCAGGACGCCAGCTAGAGTGTCCCAGTTTGCTAAGAGCTGTGCAGGGAGGTGTATGGCCCTTACACATCTTCCCGCCCGGCTCTTGGTAACCTAGAAAGCTCTGGCCGGAGGGAGAGCGACAGGCAAACTCCATGTGTGCCGCCATGCTGCTCTGTCTCCCACTCCCCCACATGACCCAAAGAGATGCCACTGAACAGCTTCAGGCTGCCTCATTAAAGGGACGTCCCTGCACACTACAGAAAGAACTGGTACAGTTTGCTAGTCTTATGGCAATGTCCCCTAACTGAAGCAAAAAGGAATTTCCTTGTTGAAATACAAAGTTACCGAAGAAAGTGGTGGTTCCTCATTTAAGAAAAGTAGGTGGAGCTATGTAAATAATAATGTTATGCCCTAAGGCCAGCTTGGGCATCTGGAACCATTGGATGCCCAATAGGCAATGGCTATTACAATCTAGTGACATTATTTTACTGAAGTGTTTTCTTTTGGGTTTTTTCTGTCTCCTTGACCATATTATTAAAGGGAAACTATATTCTTTCTATTTATGTGAACGAGAAAATAATTTTCCCAATAAAAGGTTGTGTGCTACAAATGAAAAATAAAATATTGAATGTTATTTTTATTGTTGGTTACGAGCCTTAAATATGTTCAGTTGTTATCTTCTCCCTCAATTCTTGCAGTAATATCACGGAAATGATGACCACCGTCTCGCTACAGATTGTAGGCATCATCGAGCCAATAATACAACATGCTGACTGGTTCTTCCCAGGCGGTGAGTGCGGGTATGCGGGATGTGCAATACTGATGCTTTGTCCGAGATATCAGCGCCAGGCAGCTGTCCTAAAACCAACTGTTCATGAGCTTCTTAGCAAATATGATTTTGTATTCTTAATGAAATCTAATTCCTCACACAGAAATCGAGTTCAACGTGACTGGAAACTATGGCAGCCCCATACACACCAATCACAATGCCAACTACAGCTCCATGCCCTCGCCAGACATGGACCACTCGGACCGCAAGCTGCACGACCAGGCCAGGAGGCCGCTCAGCGTGGCAACCGATAACATGATGCTGGAGTTCTATAAAAAGGATGGGTATAACATTTTTATCATGTACTCGTTGTTCAGGCATGTTTGTATTCTAACAAGGACAGGGAAGTATCTTGTGGGGTGGAATCAGAGAAGGATTGGGGGGTTTTCAGCCACATTGGTCAAGAAAGTGAGACTCCATAGCAGCCAATCTGACCACTGCTTCCTGTTTTCTGTCATACCTGTCCTCCCCCTAGTTATGAAATGACCTCCTTGGTTCCATCCGATAACGATGGGGTCAGCAATGGCTTCCTTTCTGTTGGATACCCCTGGGCTCAATGGGCACCCCTTTCTCGTGAAGGATCAGTTATGTTTTCTTTAGAAATTTTCGCAGCTGAAGGCGATTTTTGGCACAAGATGAAGTCAGAGGTGTCTGTTCAGAGCGCAAATGTACAATTGTACCTCAGAATGATCATAAGGCAGTTGGACTCTCTAGCCCCCATCTCGTGTGCATGGTTAGTCCAGAATCTCATGTCTAAGGTCGCGTTGCTTTTTTGTTGTTTTAAAGGAAACTTTTATCAATAGATAATTGTAGGCTGCCATTGTTTTTCTTTTATTGGGAAGATGCTACACCATATGGTTTGTGGACACCTCACTACCACATCTACTATATGGCCACCAGTGTGTGGACCCCCCCCCCTCCAAATTAATGAGTTCAGGTGTTTCCAGTGAAGGGTATTGTTGATTCTGCAGCATACATAGAGATGTTAGAAAATTCCTCTAACCTTGTGGTAACAGTTTGGGGATGACCCTTTCCTGTTCCAGCACATGACTGTGTACAACGCTAGCTCCATAAAGACATGGTTTGACCAGTTTTATGTGCAGGAAGTCTAGTGTCCTGCACAAAGCCCTGACCTCAACCCTACTGAATACCTTTGGATTGAATTGGATTTCCAATCGCCAAGCACATCTTCTCACCCAGCATCAGTACCTGACCTCACACATGGGTACAAATTCCCTCAGACGCACTTCAAAATCATGTGGAAAGCCTTCCCAGATGAGTGAAGGTTTTCCGCAAAGGTGGTGGGGTGAGAGCTCCACATTAATGCCCGTGGTTTTGGAATGGGATGTCCAACAAGCCCACATAGGTGTGATGGTAAGGTGTTCACAAAATTCTGGCCAAATAGTGTTGTTCCTTAGCTGCCATTCTGATCAACTGGCCATTTAGGAGTTTCCCGATCTGCATATTTTTTATGACTTAGTGACATGGTACAAAGTGACTGGTCCCAGGCATAGACCAAACTTAACTGACCCTATCATGTTTTATCCTTTCAAAAGAAGTTTGGCAAAGAGTAATATATTAATTTGATGGTTTGCTATGTTGTTTCTTTACATGGGATCCAGTGTAAAATATGTGTAACTGGGTGTGCCATTTATTAGTAAAATCATGACCAGAGACTAGGGATGCACCAATACCAGTATTTTGGTATCGAGTATGAGTACCGATATTTTTTTTTCCGGTACTCACCGATACTGAATACCATTACCGGAAGTCCCATTCAGGAAGCCAGGCGGCGTGTAATGACTCGCCACCTGGCTTCCTGATTAGCAGGAAAGCCATCGCCATGCTTCTCTTCACTGGATGTACGAGTACTCGCCCAAATACTCGGCACCGATACTAGTATCAGTATTGGTGCATCACTACCAGAGACCATTGAGACTAAGGCTGGCCATACACCTGTCAATTATTTTCGTTCAATCCGCGGTCTGAAAGAAAGAAAATGACGCAATTTCTCCATCAACGCAAACAGCATGTCGATCGAGTAATCGCCGCTGTTTACATTGCATTCTGACAGGGTCCGCTGGCACCTTAGATCATCTGATCGAGGAATGAAAGAGAGCCGACAGCTCCATGCACTTGCCAAATTTCGTCCGGTAACATTAAAAACCGGCCGAAATTCGTCCAGTGTCTGGGCACCTTTTAGATGTCCAGACCAAGTTTAACAGCATCAATGTATATCAGTTAGGCTGGGTTCACACCTAGGCGTATCAAATATGCGCATTTGTCGCGCATTTCGTGCCACGTGTTTTTAACGCGATTCGCGGTAAGAAAAACGTGCGACAAACGCGCGTTTTCGAGGGCTACCTGACTGTATCCCAATGGATACGCGCGGCAAATACGCCCCAAAGAAGCTCCTGTACTTCTTTGGGCGTAGGGCGTTTTGCAGCGCGTTTGCTACACGCTGTAAAACGCCCAGGTGGGTACCATGCCCATAGGCAATCATTGGTTTTCACATGTTGAGCGTTTTACAGAGCGTAGGAACGCGCTGTAAAACGCCCAGGTGTGAACCCAGCCTAAAACTGTGTGTAATAGTAACATTTTTGTAGTTTTGGATGGAGTAGGGAAGGGTAAGATCCTTTTGTCTGTCTCCACTGGGAAGATTCATCCCCACAATTTGTACTGGAGACCGTTGTCACTGAGACAGGAAATGATGGAAAATCTAACATTTTATAGATCACTAGAATAAGAATTAGACAGTGGCGTCACAAGGCGGGTGCCGGGGGGTGTGGCCCGCTCCCGGGTGACACCATTGGAGGGGTGACACCAAAATGACTACCGGTCATTTTGGTGTGATCGCCTCCTTTAAGATCAGGCACTCGGTCATGGGCTGAGAGCCTGACAGTTGCAGGGGAGAGAGAGGAGGAGACCCAGCGGCATACCTCATCTCGCCGGGTGAACGTCTCTCCTCTCTCTGCCAGCATCCATCACCAAGATGGCCTCCGGCAGGTATAAAAAAAATGACAGCGCATGTGCGATGACGTCACGGTGGGGTGTCACCCGGAGTAGATATCTTTCAAAACCTTTCAATGGGGACACTTGTTCCAGAGACAACTATACAATTACCCTCACCTTGGGGGAGATTTCCTCTCATGTCCTATTGTGTCTGCAGGACAGCTAGTGAAGGGAAATCTCCCAAATGGAACAAACCTCAGAAATTTACTTGACAGAGCATTTAACCCTTTCCTACTCTTTTTATAGCTAATAAAGTTTTGACTATTCATACTTTTAAACTTGTCAACTAATTTTCCAGTTCGACAGCAGGGTTTGAGAACTAGGAACATACCCAGGTGCACATTCCTAGTTCTTTGCTGCAATGTTAATTCATATTCTCAGGGTACAGGGAACAGCACCGGGTACAGCATAGGGTACAGGGAATGGTGCATAAGGAGTTTAAAAAAAGATGCATCGCGGTGCCAAAGTGGTTCGAAGGAAATGTTGGGCACAATGGCAGCCTCGGGGTTAAAATGTTTCTCATGCTCCCTGCTGATTGGAGAGCTCTGGCTCTGACTTGGCAGGGGGTCATGTCAGACCTCTCCAGAGAGACCAGTGCTTCCACACAGGGAGAGTAGGGTCCTTCTCTGCAGCATGCCGGCCGGGGACACGCTTTTCTTACTCAAGCTGTGGCTGATTTAAAGTAAATCAAATTTGTAGGACTGTGCGCATTTTTTCATTTTGATGCACCTGGAATGCATTTAGCTAATTTCATCTGAATGTTCTTTAAGGCTTTACAGATGTTTTTTTATTATACACCTTTTATACGTGTTATCCTTTGTTATGTCCGTTCTTAGAAATAGCTACATTGTGCTGAATGCAAAACATTTGTTTTAATGGATACATTGATTTTTATTTTAGGAATTATTTTCTGCAGAATACTGCAACAATTAATCATTTTGAACATCAGCTCAGTAAAGAGTTCCCCCTCCCCTAATATTACCAATACAAATTAAAATCCAAGAATCACCCTCCCCCAATATTATCAATACAAATTATAACCCAACAATCCCCCTTCACCAATATTATCAATAAATTAAAACCCAAGAATCACCCTCCCCGATATTATCAATTAATTACGATTTAAAGAATCCCCCTCACCCAATATTATCAATAAATTAAAACCCAAGAATCCTCCTCCCCCTAAACATATAGGAATGTCAAGGTAGGGGATTATTTAGGTCACAAAATGGAAGAACTCTGTAGGCCCAACAAAAACTGTGGAGGTCTGAACTAGCCTCTGCTTTAAAAACTCGGTCCTCCACACTTTTATGATGAACCTTGCCAAATTTAATGCAAACACTATTCGGTCCATTGGTGTTAGCTCCCTCTCTCTGTCAGAAATGAGGCTGTGAGTGGGAGTGCATGTACCGTGAGCCCCCGCCCACCTGTATGGAGCAAGCTGCTGCCTTTTACCATCAGGGACTGTGAATGTAAAGCGCACCGAAGGACTTTAACGCTGAGCAGTAGTATTGTATTGTACTGTCAGACATGTTTGAGGCACTGGGGGCTGAGGGGCAGTGCACAGGCTCTCGGGGATACAAGCACATGGGCTGTCTGGGTTATAAACAGTGGCAGTTCATTGAAGTGGCCGATCAGAATCGGCATGTGAAACGGTTGACGTAGATGTAATGCAGCTGTTTGCCGAGGCAGCCGATGCAGCCGAACGTGTCGGCTTTGCGAAGCCCACCGCTAGATTTAACGGCAGCCGACGCTCCTGCCGCTTCCCCTCTTTTCAGTGTCTCTCCACGCTAACTGTGCTTGTGTTTTTGTCCATGCAGCCTTAGGAAAATTCAAAGGTAAGATGTACCTCCCTGACATGTTTCTCCGGCCTGCGTGTCCTGTAGTCTGCTGTCTCGTTCCAGAGAGTCATCTGTCCCTCACCGGGTGCATGTTCAACGTACTGAACCGTGTGCATATGGTGTCTGTTCTGTGTAACCGTTTTCATGGCTGTTCAAATGTTTGTTTTATTTAAGGCATTTTATACAGCGCCATCGGGGGGG